TGGGATATGTACATCAAAATAAGGGTGAGGGCACCAACTTGTAGAAAAGCTAAAAGGAAACACTCCTTTTTATCACCAACTACGATATATTGAAGTATGACTTTTTTTTCCTTTAGCAAATCAGCATTTCAACTTTTAAAAAAAATTTTATTTTAAAAATTAAAAGAAAATAACAAAACAATGAATACAAAATCAAAACAAAAACTATTCATGACCTCAAAACAAAATGATAGGAATTAACAGTGGTTGCTACATTACATACCATTATCATCAATGAAGTTACTTAGTCCACCAGACATAAGAATGTAAGACTGATCAAACAATCAAAGATAGTAACAAGTAATACAAAAGTTGCAAATGATGCAGAGCTTCACCGTATAAGATGGTAGGAGTTCAACAATAGTTCTTATACTGCATATTGCTGTTTTCAGATCAGTCAGTCTGATTACCAGATCCAAGTATGTAAAACTGGTCAATAAAAACAAAAAATTAAGCACTGACTGTTCCTTTCAATGGATGCAACTAGAGACCATACTCATAAGTGAAATAAATCAGATTTACACGTGTAAACATCATATTTCCTTCCTACTATAAGAACCTGAAAGTAAATAAAATCTGACAGGTACAGTAGATATTGTGAAAGGGAAAAGAAACTGCTCAAATGGGAAGGAGCAACTGGGATGAAGGAGAAGAGAGGAAAAACAAAGAAGAAAGAGGAAAAAAATATGTATATGTGTACACAGCAGAGCTAAGATAATTGTACTACTAATATCTGTTGGTTTATTGAAAAGAACTGGTAATATGTAATTGTTTGATCAATCTTGCACGTCTATATCTGGTTATATGTGCAACCATTTTGAAGATAACATTATGTAATATAACAACCACTCAATATCCTATCATGTTTTAAAATTCTGTATCATTTTTATTGTTCTCTATGATGTTTTATCTATGTATTTATTTTTGTTATTTTGGTTTGTTTTTCCTTTCTCTTTAAAATGAAAAACAAAATTTATATGTATATACAAGGATAGCTGGAATAGGTGTACTGCTGATGTCTGTGGTTTATTCAAAGCAACAGCATTTTGACTTTTATAAGGAATTTGGGAACACCAACAGGGTTGTTTATTACTATACCCCAAATACTTAATAATGCCAAGCAAATAGTAAATCCATAATACTTATTTTGGATTGAATAAATATTGAAAATGCTAGCCATTTTCTGTGGAATACTAAAAAGTTCATGGTGCTTTGTTTGCTTTTATCTTCTCTTTAATGTATTGAAGAATAATTTATTTCCAAAGAACATTTCAGGTGTTTTGGGAGGAAGAGTCATTTATCAAGTACTATTAAATTTGTATAACAAAAAAAGCACTTTTAAAATTCACTCCAGCACTGCTGCTACTACTACTAAGAATTTGAAATGGAAAATTAAAAGAATTTATTTAAAAATCATCAAAATAGCTTGGCCCTCACCAAAAACAACCCACAAGCAACTGAAGACATATAAATTGGACTTTCTTAAAAATTAAGACCTTTTGTGCTGCAAAATATGTCATCAAGTTGAAAGACCACCCACAAAATGAAAGAAAATATTTTCAAAACAGTATCTGATAAGAAACAGAAATCTAGCCTATATAAAGAAATCTTAACCTCAATAATAATAAAAGAAACTATTTAAAAGATGGGCAAAGCATTTGAATGGACAAGATTATTTCTCCAAAGAAAATACATAAATGAACAATAAAGCACAGGGAAAGATATTTGACCATATTAGTCTTCAGGGAAATGCAAATCAAATTCACAAGAAGATATCGCTATATGGTTACTGATTATAATTTCAAAAAGATTGATAATAACAAGTGTGAGCAGTTCTGGAAGCCCTCTTTCATGACTCTTTAAGTGTGTGTGATGGCTGCCTCAGTGTCCTGAATCAACTAAAAACGTTCACCTTTCATCCTCATTTTGACACTGGAGAAGGACCGGAAATGGCACCTTGCCAGAGCTGGTGAAAAGGTGAGTAAAAGCATACCATAATGCTTTCAACAAACCTGTTTGTATGTTGTATGTTACTGGGCAGCAATAGGCACAATATTTTTGATCAGAGACTGTAAAGTCACTCAGGAAGGACTTAATTGCTTCACAATTGCAGGAAAAATACTATAAAGTATATTCAAAGCAAGGGGGAGGTCTTGAGTATTTTGGACTTTTGTTTTGTTTTGTTTTTTGAGACAAGTCTTGCTAGGTAGTTCAGACTGTCCTTGAACTCACTGTGTAGCCCAGGCTGGCCTCAAATTTAGGGTGTCACTCCTGCCTGAGTCTCCCCAGTGCTGAGATTACAGGCGTGCACCACCACGCCCAACTAAAGGGAAATTTTCTGAGAGGCATTAATGGCAATGTTTCTTACCATGAGAAGGTTTCTAAACATTCACCATCTATTTTGATCTCATCCATAAATGAAATATTGATATTTGCCAAAACACATATGGACCCTGAGAACACGCAAAGTGAAGGAAGCCAGTCACAAAAGATTCTGTGAATCTATTTACATGGGACACCCAGAATGAGCAAATACATATGGCTGAAAGTACATCAGTGGTTCTTGCTTTGGACTTGAGCTTAAGAAGGAAGTTGAGGGAAAAGGGGGTGACTGCTAAGGGGGTGGACTGGAAGGTTTTTTGTAGGGGGATGAAAACGTTCTAAAGTTGATTATGGTGATGGTTATACAGTTCTGTGGATGCATTTGAAATACTTGAATCATTCACTTTAAATAGGTGAATTATGGGGCTGGGGATTTAGCTCAGTGGCACAGAGCCTGCCTGGCAAGCGCAAGGTTGTGAGTTCAATTCCCGGTACCAGAGAAAAGCCAAAAAAAAAAAAAAAAAAAAAAAAAAAAAGAAATAGGTGAATTATATATGCAAATGTGTCAATTATATAAAGTTGTTATTTACAAAAAATGCTTTGGCCTTAATAATGTTAGGCTAGTGACCAGAATAATGTGATTTTTAAAAAATGGTATAGAATGTGTCGATCTAGGCATGTTTCACCTCTGCAGTAAATTACTCAGTAATAAACTGATGCATGTCATTATATGAGAGTCTCAGCATGAATAAAACCCTTTAAAAAGGCAAGCCCAAGTGTTTTTGAAAGGATTTAAATGTATTTTGAATGAATTTGGAAAATCTCTAGATCTTTTGCTATATTGCCATACTTTTTTAATGATTTCATTTATGTCATGCAATTAAGAGTATCATAAAAAGAAAATTTTATTAACTTTTTTATTCACTATAAAGTAGCAAATACATTACTAAGTATAGTTTCCTTTAAATACTAAAATTTGTCCTACTTATCATAACTTAATAGAGCATAATTGCATTTAAACTATAAGCTTTAAGTGAACCAATAATTTAAAAATTACCCTGTTACTTTTGTATTCTTTGTGAAGATATAGATATGTATATCCAAAAATAGACACATCTTCCAATATATGAGTTGTAGCTTCCTCATATTAAATTAAATGTTCACACACAAAGATCATATAAATTTGAAACCAAATCAATGGTAGATTTTCTTCTTAGTTACTCCTTTGATATATTAAAAAAATGAAACCTAAAGTAGTTACATTTTCTCCACAAATCATGATTGAGACATCCATAGTTTGAAGGCAACTTCCTTAATTCCCAAGGCAATGATGTTTTCATCATAAAAAAAATTCCATAAAAAGAAAATGTCTAAAAATCGATTAGTATGTAGAAGGATACTAAGTTAGGCATCTGTTGGATGTTTCTTTATTTGAAAATATATTATTTGTTCACCCCTATCATTGGTAGTTCATTTATAAGCTTTACACTCCTTGAACACTATAACCATGTACATTTATTTAACTGCTAACCACACTCTCAACTTATCTGTGAACTTATTTTCAAACAAAATGATCAATGGAATTAAAATGGAAGGCAATACTTTAAGGAAATTATTTAATTCCTAACAGAAATTTTAGGAAAATGTTCATGTAGATGAGCCAATAAATTCCTCATGCAGAAACCCAACACTTTTGCTACACTTCAAAATAAAGGCTTCTTTACAAACTTTCCAACTAGAACATCAATGTAGCATTCACCAACTCTATCATGGCTTCTGAAAGAATCTCATGAAATGACTATTTTTAATGGCCCTGCACCAGGACTTCATGAGAATCTGTGGAGTTTAGTGAGGGAGCTCTCTTGCACCTTCTCCTTCCCTTCCAACTCTCTCCAGAACTGGCTGACTAAAAACAACTCCTTTTCTCCTGCTGTCACACTTCCAGCTATTTCCAAATCTACTACGTATTTTGTACACCATTATTGATAGGATTAAGTCTGTAGAATGAGAAAGAGCTATTGGCATTTAAAAAATGAGATTTCTTTTTCTCAAGCGTTCATTGATATAGTGAATGTGATCTTTCTTTATGTAGGTTATACCGTGCCTCCTCTGAGAGCCACCAAGGTCTTCTGACCCCCTACATTCCAGAAATCAGGGGTCAGCAACAGGGTGCCCCACTTGTGAAAAGCTGTTGACCTCTGTGAGGGAGCTTGTATGGAAGCAAGTGTTAATTTTCAGAATGTGACTGCTCTTGATAGCAGCAACCTCATCTCATCATGCTGTCCCTTGGAATGTTTTCCAGTCAAGGGGCCAGAAGTAATCTGTCATCACCAGTCAGTGGTGCAAGGAGTTCACTCTTGTATCTTTGCCTTTGTCTCCTGGATCTGAAACAAAACATACCACCCTGCCCTCCTCCTCTTACATCCAAGTCTTCATGTGTTCAACATCTGTCAGGGCTTTCACCTTCGTTGACATGGTCAACACACCAAGAGTTATATTTAACACATGAAAAATGGACAGCAGGCCCATTTCTTCCTGCTTTGTAATTGAGAACTATCAGCTCTGTGCTTGGGGCCTTCACATGTGTGCTTATTCTTGGAACAATGTTTATAGACACTTAAAATGATTATCCTCCAAAATGATAAGAAGGTTTAATAACACACTTTAATATAATTTCTTAGGCACTTTTTTAATAAAATACAGATATATAATTATAATTATCAATGTATGTCATTTAATATAACAATAAAATGTTAGTCTTTGAAGTGACATGGTAATATTTACAGTAAGATTTAAAAGAAATGGCATTTGTACAATATTGCTAAATTTTACCAAAAAGATTAATAAAAATTCTACTCATATTGTGGTGTCATTTCAAATTATGAACAGCAAGAAGAAAATGCTCTGATTACTAATACATATGAATATAATGCATTGCTTTCTTTGATTTCTCAAGATGGAACGGTATTCTCCAAGAAGTATACCAAGAACTAAGGCTAAAACAGACCATTCTCAAAGTCTGTCCCAAACTGTTGTCAAAGTTATTAAGATCATACACAAAATCTTACATAGATCTATCTATTGCAAATATTTCACATTTCTTCATGTTAATCTTAAAGGTCAGTACTACCTCAATGAACTGCTTATAGCATCCATGAGAAAATTTTTCAGTACCTTTAAACAGAGTCAAATCCTGAAAATTCTTTTCAAACAGTATATTCCCCTAAATATCTAACAATGGTGGTCATTTAAAGTAAACAACGAAGCCATAAGCTATATCTTTTCCCTATCTAAACTAGGAATGAGTGAAAGCAATTGTTACGCAGTGAAAGGAAATCACACATTTTTCACTTGTCAAATATATTAAATTCAATGAGTTAAAGGGAAAACGTATCATTTTAGTTTCTCAACAGAAAGGCAATGTAGTTCATCATGCATTGTTAGCTATTCTGATATAATGTGCTATTGGAGCTACTTATTTTGAACTCAGAAACCATATATATATTATTTGAAGGACTTTTTAAAAAGTAGTGCTATTTTCATTTCTTCATTTCAGAAGTTTAAAACGCTGTTGAGGTTAAAAGTTTTATAGTTCCTTTATCATAATTGGTATCTTCCTCCTTAGTACTCCAAGAGGGCCTTTATAATAATGGACTTTGGCCTTTCACTACAGCCCCCACAAGACAGATTGCTGGAGATAACCCTCTGAAATTCCTTGCAGCTTTAATACCATAAAGACCTAAGATCTGTCTGTTTTGGACAAGACTCAGACAGAGGGATAAGGTTAAGGAGGGGGAAAGTTTCCATTTGGAGGAGTTACCAGCCATAAATACGGTACGTAGCATAAATGTCCTTTCTTTGCGCATAGACCATAGGTTAGGAAGCTTTAAGATAAAAGAAAAAATATCCTAATGAAAAGCCAAACTACATGACAACCTAAAGAGTGGTTGACAACATTACTTCTCTGTGCTTGAAAAGATAAACATTTTTCATTAGAATCAAAGGATTTGACAGTGATTTATTTCTTTTTTCCTATTACTCATATATTCCTCCTTCAGAATATATGCAAATGAATTTAAGAATGTTTATAGGATATTCTTTTGTGGCCTATTTGGTGAACTTAACAAAATGAGCCACAAATCCAAAGCACTGGAAATTGATTCCCTGCCTGATGGAAAGTGAAAAAATTCACAAGCTTCTCTTCCACCTTCCTTAGAAAATTATTGCCAGTTATGAATTTTATAGATCTGAAGTCATATAATATTTGTAGTACACAAGAATAAGCAGGAATGCAAAAGCTGCTAATCCATGTTACAAATACCTCAGAACTAATACTAAGACGTCAACTGTCTTTTGCAATTTAGGTTCCCACACTGCGTTCAAGAATTACAGAAATCACAAGACTCTATATGTTGGAGTTAGACTGGTCATAAAAACTCAGTAAGAACTGTTTAGACCATTTTTCTGATAAATTAAGTTATAAGTCTTCATCTGGTTAGTATTATTGCCAAGTTTTGAGTTTACTACTCTGTTTTCAAAAGAGTCTTAAGAATTCGACTAAACGTACTACATGCATGCTAACACTCTGTGGAACTGGACAAAGTAAGCAGGGAAGATAGAGGCTTCAATATGCCACATGTTCTATATACAGCATACACATATACCATAGATAGTTTACAATCTCACCATGAGAAAGTCAAAAGCCTTAGTGAGCCTTCATTTTCTGTGATATGTACATTTTACAAGCTGCAGATAATTTCCTTCCACACTGCTTTAAAAAAAAGACTGAAAATACATTAGACAGATTCAAATACAGTTTAACTTAAAGGCTTCATCAGACCAGATGTGCAGACACTTGAGATGATGACAGAGTTAAGCTTCCTAGGGTCCTAGAGTCAAAGAAACTCTGCTGACCCCCACTGCTAAGCAGGTGCACTCCTTCCACAGGGGGTAACATCTGTCGATCGGTCATGGTCCCACTTGGTGAAGACCCCAAGAAACTTCCTTGGGAAGAAACAATTTTCTCAGGACTGGCAGCCAGTTTGGGGGATGTGGAGAAGTTATATCCATACAAGGCGCAGGGGCTGTGCAACCTGAAAGTGTTATAGGAACCCTGATGGGTCTGGTTAGTAGCGAAGGCATTGCTGGAGGGGGAAGGCATGATGTACTGAAGCTGGGGGGACATTCCCGAGATCTGCATGGATAAGCTGGACTGTGGGCAGCTGAAGGTTTCGCCATCAGTGCTGCCCAGGGACATGTTCACGGAGGTGCTGCTGCTCACGCCCACATAGGAGGGAGTCCTAGGCGAGGTGAAGGTCTCGCTGGTCTGGTTGGTGAGCCTGTTGTAGGTCTCGGCCAAGGATGTGCTGTATCGGTTGAGGGTGAGGCCTGAGCGGGCACAGGCAGAATAGTCAGCTGGGGCCAGGCTACACAGCTGGCTGGTGTTGGGCCCCAGGTGGAAGGCAGGAGAAGAGCAAGAGGAGCCAGACAAAAGGTGAGGGTGGGTGGCAGGAATAGCATTCCCAGTGCCTTGGAGTAAGGTGGAAGAGCTTGCACTGCCTATAAAAGAAGTTGAAATGTAAAGAATGACTCCACACCCATCTTCTCCTTCTAATTTTGTAAATACATGGTAGGCATGGCTTGTTACCAGGGGTGCCAGGGTGCTACAAAGACGAAAAGGAGATGGTCTCAGCTCACTAGGAGTTTATATTTTGTTGCATTCAGATCGAAATAATTTAAGCACAGATCTCCATATTTTTACGGCAAATTATCTTCCTAAGGAATTATGTATTTGTGTATTGCAGAAAATCATAGATATTGTCACACAGAATTTTCACACTTTCTCTCTCAATAAGCTCTCTCAAATTTTTTATTTACTGCAATAAGTATGCCACGTGTTCAATTTACCAGCAACTTCATTAAGTATGAATTTCATCTTAGTTTGTGTCTTGTTCAAAAAGTATAATCAAGACCTTTTCTACCCTAATTTTAGTTTTGCTTTCAGTAAAGCTTATTCGGGATCAAATGTCTTCTCAAAAAAAAAGAGAAGTAACTCAAAAGCTGAACAGTGGCGCACTCTGCCTCAAATTTATCTGTGGCTTTTTACAGAAATCATGTGAATCAATTACTATGGTACCGCAGATCTTGGCCACATAGTAGAGTAATAGTCTAGCTCCTCAAAATGGCATTTCCAACCAGAACATGTGTTGTTGAATCACATCTGAACACAAAAGCAGAGGTCTACCAGACCTGTAAACTTTAGAGACAGTGGTTAATCCTGAGTCTAATAGATAGCAGGGATGCTGAATGACTCCCCTTTTCTGGATTTCCTGGCAGATTGACATTTGCAAATATAATACAACTTAACGGGAGAAGAGAATTCCAAGAGCCAGAAAGCTTGTAAACCTTTCTAGCCACAGTTTTGTATAGTATCTCAAAATAATCTAAAAGCCTAATAGAACTAATGATAATAATCTAAACCAAACTTCTCACTGGAAGTTGGCAGGATCCTGGTAAAAAGCCCAAATGTAGGAGCAAGCAGAGTCCTACCAGTAGGGCCATCCTTCTCTGAGAAATACAAGCCCTGTGCTTTTAGTAAATGTTCAGAGAAGATCCAGAGAGGTGTGCTAGAACATGCCATACCTCATCATAAATCCAACAGGAGAACATTGCCCATAGGCAATTTTTCTGAAGGAAGAAACTAGCAGAAAGGGTGGACTAGGACCACAGTTTCTTATGAAGTGTATCTGGTCTCACAGCCCACCATTTACCTCTAACTTAATGAGATTTAAGGGTGAGGTAAAGTTCATGAAATACATAAACAGCCTAAAACATCTAAGTTTTAACCTATGATGACAACAATCATTTTTCATGACCAATTCTTCATCCATCAAGAAAAGAGATGGATTCCGGATGGTGATGAGGTTACCTTTCTAGGTATAAATAATAATTTCTGCATGTCTTAGTGCCTGGGTTTCTAGGCAGGAACTGACTGATCCAGGAGAGTCTGTGAATTACCTTGCTTGGGAATTCCAGGGATATCTTCAAAGGTAAGAGTCCTTAGTGACGGTCGCCAGAATGCATATGACTCCACCAAAGCTTCCAGACCCATTCTAAATGCAAGGATCGGGGTGGGGTGGACAAATGAAGTCTAGTTAGGAGCAGTTGGAGCTTTTGCTAGTAATAAGCATCTCAGAAAACAACACTGGTATTGACAGGAATCTTCAGGGCTGGCACCTTAGATGCTTGCTACAGGCTGAAAGAAATATTTCGGAGCAGGAAGCACAAAGATGAGAAGCTTGTTAACATTCTGCAAAACTGGAGCTGACCTGAGTGTCAAAAAGCTGTCCCTCTGGGCTAAGGAGCCAAGGTGAAGAAATTCCATCCTTGCTGCTGTGAGTCTAAGGTTCTGCTGTGGTCTGGAATGAACTGTTTAGCCCTGTCCTGGGACTTCTAGCCACAAAACCACGCTCCTGTAAAACCTTTCCTAAAAGGCATTTCTGACCATCACTCATTGCCACAGCAGCCATCTCAGAGGAGAAATCACCCAAAGAAAACCAACTTCCCCTCACAAGGAACAATATTTACCACCAACCAGGCCAGGCTGTCCTTCTAGTAACAAAAGGACCAGGAGGGGGCAGCACCGACCGCTCCCCTTACCTCCCGGCAGCGAAGAGATCTCACATGGCTATCATGTATATGGATTTAGGATTAACATCACAAATTACTTTAAAGCCTCAACGTACATTCTTAATGAATGTGTGCTTAAGGAGATAAGTTGATTACTTACATGGCATGCATATTTTAAAACAAAAGCAACGACTCTAAATACATGTATAAAACCCTTACTGCCACAAATGACTGAGAGGTTTTCCCTTCTTATATATCAGATGACTAAATCCTCTAGGTTTTTGAATTAAGGGCGTTCACTAAATTCACCATTATTAAGACAGCCTGAGACTTTCACCACTCTTCTCTCAAACCACCTCAGCCCTAGGAAATTTGTCAAGGTAAGATTGTGCTTCTCACTAAATCTATCACTGTGATGTAAGAAATGGCTGCTAACTCAGACATCTCTTGTGATTGTCAGATACTCTAGCAGCTTTAACGCAGTTTCTACATCCTGTAGATTCCCTGCATCTCCAAATCATGAACTGCAAACTAAAATGAAGAGAAAGCATCCCCGCAAAATCACATTACCTATATGATAGTGAAAGTTTTCCAAAGAGGAAATAAGTGATTTGAGCAAATAAAACTCTTTCACAATACTGTCCTTTTGTGCCAAAGTTTTACACACAGAATGTGAATATTAGAATGGGTGGGGCAGAGTCTCCATTAATTTAGTGATTTCTGTCCCCATTTAGAGGATGCCCACCCCATCTTAGCAATGGAAGCACAGCTATGCGTGGGTGGTTTTGTGGCATGAGTGCAAGCATATCCTCTCATGAATTCACACAGTGGCCTGACGCATCTTTTCAATTGCAGGCTCAGGGGAGTTCTGTTCAAAGAGGCATTTCCAGCTCCACACAGATGCTACCACAGATGCCCCCAGAGAGGAGGACACAGAAGGGAACGGTAGCTGTTTTCCCTGGGTTACCTGAAGAGAAGAACAGAAGCTGGCTTACAACACAATCCATGTACTACAGAAAGCATTAGTTAGTGTTAAGGACACTAGATTGGGATTAAAAGAACTGAGCTGTGACTGCAAGTCACTAAAATAATTGTGTGGCCTTAAGCCATTTTCTGAATATCTCTGGATCCCAGCTTCCTATAAAGTGATGACTAGGAAAACTCTGAAATCCCTTCTAGCTCAACGCTTGTTTTATTCTAAGTCATTTTTTTTTTCCAAAGCAGACATCAAAATCTGTGGCAAAACTATAACTGAAATCCAATACTGTGTCATGGGATTATATTTTCTGTACTATGAGAATATTGATTTCTGGGCAGTTTGGTAGATCTAGGCAGTCTCAGAGCCCCGTGCTGTCTGTGGATTGGATAAAATACTGGACTAATACATGCTGGGTGCTGTGTAGCTAATCCCTCTACATTTACTTTTTTTAAAAGTTTTAAAATTTATTTTAAAAAATAATTGAAGGAAAACCTATTAACAAACAGATGTCGATACCACCGCGATTCCCAGCCGAAAAGCGCCCAAAGAGCCAGGTAGGCCGCACCCAAT